TTTCTACATTATTGTCATATTTTAAAGTTCTGTAGGTAGTTTCCATCTCATCGAAATTTAACGAGCGCTTTTTTATGTACACACTGTTTTCCCTATTTTAACGATAAATAATTGAGTAGCGGACTTATTTGAAAACGCACTTGAAATCTGAAGGTACCATTGGATTCTACGTGCTTTTCTACATTATTGTCATATTTTAAAGTTCTGTAGGTAGTTTCCATCTCATCGAAATTTAACGAGCGCTTTTTTATGTACACACTGTTTCCCTATTTTAACGATAAATAATTGAGTAGCGGACTTATTTGAAAACGCACTTGAAATCTGAAGGTACCATGGGATTCTACGTGCTTTTCTACATTATTGTCATATTTTTAAGTTCTGTAGGTAGTTTCCATCTCATCGAAATTTAACGAGCGCTTTTTTATGTACACACTATTTTCCCTATTTTAACGATAAATAATTGAGTAGCGGACTTATTTGAAAACGCACTTGAAATCTGAAGGTACCATTGGATTCTACGTGCCTTTCTACATTATTGTCATATTTTAAAGTTCTGTAGGTAGTTTCCATCTCATCGAAATTTNCTAAATTATTTTGTTTTGGATTAAAGTCGCCCATGATTCGTTGTAATTCAGCGCTGCATCGAGCTGTTTTTTAATTTGTGTGACACCTGGGCCGTGAAAAAAATACTTGACGATAAGGGGAAGCAATTTCTTTTCAAGGGAAATTCTGTATTCAGACTGCGTAGTATCCATTTTCAATTGGTAGCGTGGAAAACAGTGCAATCTATTGTGAGACACTCTAAAGATTGATTTTTGCGATCAACTTTATTTCAGTCGTTTTACATAGAAGAATTATCCGAATGAGTATACGGGAATGTTAACTAATGGCTTCGAACTTTTCCATTCATAATAAGCAAATCGTTTTGGTTTTGTGATAATATCTGCTCAACCCATGTATCTAACCAAATTCGAGATAATACATAAACATAATTGAAACATTTAATAGTGTTCTATAATTTTCCCTCGGCAAGAAAGAATAATAATTTTAATTTATGTCTACAATAAATGACAATATTGCATGACACTTCAGTTGCGTAAAATTCACTGCTTTTGTTTATAATTACAGTTTGTTACCTTATATTGAAACTTCCCTTGCGACCGTTTTCGCACAGTAAAAAATTAATTCTTTGAAGCAAGCCTTTTAATTTATGTTGTGGTGGTGCATTTTTGGAATGTAAATGTAAGTTTTTACGCATTTCTATTTACTATATCCAGTGGAAAGCATGGAAAAATTAGGAGGCTTGTCTATCTGATGAAGTCTTGTATACTGAAATGGAATTTAATTTTAAAGGCAATGTAGGTAGCTGAGTCGGACAATAAAAAAACAAAAGATTTTTTGTACAACGTTTAATTTTTCATTTTATTGTTACTCTGACAATTTACAACAAGGGCGTTTCAGGTCACGAAAACATTAAGTANGGTCTACCTCTACCCCTCCTAACTCCTGTTTCTGCCTCTAATATGTCTCTGACTAGACCTTCATGCCTGAGAAGGTGTCCTACCAACCTATCTCGCCTACTTTTTATTGACTTCCATAGAGTCCTCTGTTCTCCTACAATTGGGCTTGGTGAGACAAAATGTGGAAAATTAAGAACTAATTTTTGTGAGTGTTAAGTACTTTAGTGGGGTAAGCTCTGGTATATTTAGGTGTATCGTTAGGTCAATTAGGGTTAGAGACGTAAACTGTGAGAGATTTACAAGAAATTCTTGGAAGGAATAACTACCTTAGTAAGGTAAGCCCAGGTATATTAGGTATATCGTTAGATCAATTGGGCTTGGTGAGATAAAATGGGGAAAATTAAGAACAAATTTTTGTGAGTGTTAAGTACTGTAGTGGGGTATGTTCTGGTATATTTAGGTGTATCGTTAGGTCAATTAGGGTTAGAGACGTAAACTTTGAGAGATTTAGAAGAAATTCTTGTAACGAATGACTACCTTAGTAAGGTAACCCCAGGTATATTTAGGTATATCGTTGGATCAATTGGGCTTAGTGAGATAAAATGTGGAAAATTAAGAACTAATTTTTGTGAGTGTTAAGTACTTTAGTGGGGTAAGCTTTGGTATATTTAGGTGTATCGTTAGGTCAATTAGGGTTAGAGATGTAAACTGTGAGAGATTTACAAGAAATTCTTGTAAGGAATAACTACCTTAGTAAGGTAAGCCCAGGTATATTTAGGTATATCGTTAGATCAATTGGGCTTGGTGAGATAAAATGTGGAAAATTAAGAACTAATTTTTGTGAGTGTTAAGTACTGTAGTGGGGTATGTTCTGGTATGTTTAGGTGTATCGTTAGGTCAATTAGGGTTGGTGAGAAGTTAAATGGGGATAATTAAGAACTAATTTTTGTGAGTGTCAAGTACTTTAGTGGTGCAAGCTCTGATATATTTAGGTGTATCGTTAGGTCAATTAGGGTGGGTAAAAGTTAAATAGGGAAAATTAAGAACAAATTTTTGTGGGTATTAACTACTCTAGTGGGGTATGTTCTGGTATATTTAGGTGTATCGTTAGGTCAATTAGGGTGTGTAAATGTTAAATGGGGAAAATTAAGAACAAATTTTTGTGGGTATTAACTGCTCTAGTGGGGTATGTTCTGGTATATTTAGGTGTATCGTTAGGTCAATTAGGGTGGGTAAAAGTTAAATGGGGAAAATTAAGAACAAATTTTTGTGGGTATTAACTACTCTAGTGGGGTATGTTCTGGTATATTTAGGTGTATCGTTAGGTCAATTAGGGT